AAAAATTAGTAGATGGTACTTGTTGAAGAAACAATATATTTAACCTAATTTACAATTTACAAATAAAATGAATGACAATTAAGCCTAAAATTACAAAGACACATGGTAGTGTCTTTGTAGTACAAAAGGATATCACTAAACATTAATTAAAAAACTCTAACCTTACAAGAAGTATCTACAAATTTAACTAAACGTATGTTATTGAAACCAAATAACTACAAATAATAATATTAATATCAAAATATTTAAAAATCTATTCACACTTCTATTGGTGGAGGGTTGTCGCATAATGATTTTCATGCTAGAAGCAGTTGAACTACATTGATCTTGAGGTATGTGGAAGCTCAAGGCTTGTGGAATGTGAAAAAAATTTTGCATATAGAGGGTAACACTGAACGAGAATAGCTATTTATGTGAATGGTGATAATGTATCATACTGGAAGTAAAAATTCTTGGCTTACAAAATTACCAGCCAAGCCCAGACTGGTTGGGATTAAGGTAATTAAAAAGAAACAACAACAAAGGATACACTAGAGCCAATAGAAATATAAGTTTTCACTCTAGCCTGAAATTCTTCCCAAGTGTCAATGGACAGAGGTGATTGGAATTCTGGAAAAGATAGATTTCCTAATGAAGTTCTTCTTTCTTGTGCTGTAGTTTGAGACACATTTTTTCCATGTCCTTCAACCTCCATTTGATTTGTTCTGCTTTGTATGACATATATTTTATCTATAATAATACATTTACAGGTAGATTAATACACATAAATCATCTTAACTTTAAAGCATTACAGATAATTTAACAAATTCTGTAATACCACAAATTACTAGGTACTACATTCTACAGGTCATTTGATAACATAGAATCTGAAAGACAACAAAGGGCCCTTTGGCCAATCATGGCTATACCAATCATTTCATCACTCCTCTGCCTATATCCAGACCTGTCTGCCCAAGTACTTATCGAGCCTTCTAATGAACTCTCTCAATCTTCTTATAGATAATTTAGTAACTAATGAAGGAGTAACAAATACAGATAGCTTAATAAATAATAATGTAATTTCATACAATATAAAGTACTATATAGTGTAATAAATAATGAAGTAAAAATTAATACAACAGTCTTAAGCTTTGAAGGAGTAGAATATCAAAGAGGCATGCCTTCAAGAAAATATAGATAGATTTTTATGCAATTAATTACATGTTCATGCATAGTTAATATTTTACCATTTACTTTAAGACTGATATAATTAGCCTATGTTACGATAAAGTAAAAATATTAAACCCATTGAAACAGTTTCTAAATAGGCCACCAATTTCTCAATATCATGGATTCAGATAGATATTTACAAAACCAAAGAAGTTACAATCAGGTAATACCATTTCAGAAATAAAGTATAATAAATGTGACCTAGTCTATAGTAGACTGACTACAAAGTAGGATGGTTTTAAACTATTGAAATTTGTGCTTGCTTCCTAAACATAAAAGTAATTTTACACTACAAATTTCAAAAGAAAAAACTTAAAAAATTTTGTATCTTGTATTCTCTTATATTTTGTTATTATTACAACATATTCATATTTTGCAGTTACTTATATATATAAATATTGCTCTCAAAATATCACTTGTGTGAACACTGTCCCAAAATTAAAGTATATCAATTAACTGTGTTGACAATGGGTATAAAGAACAAATCACAAAAAATTTTGGTTATAAATTAACATTCAACACTTGTGTCGGTTGGGAAAAAAAGTTCACCATTTCTCTCATCCCAACACAACATAATATAAAACTTTCTTGTAAACTCTTTTTAACTGAATACTTACAAAGCAAGTTTTATGTTTCTATACATATTTCATTTAAACATAATTCAAAATAATAAAACTGAAATATTGCTGTCATCAGGCTATATTATTTATGTATAGAGGCCAAACGACTTAGTGATTGTTACTTTTTTTAAATTATATATTTTGGGTCTATTTTACCCTTGACAGGACATTGATTTTCATAACTGATTTGCAATTTAATACATATTTCACTTTATTATAATAAAAGTTTACATTAACTTCTAATGTTTCACATAAATTTAAAAGCTATCTAAAGAAAACAAATGTTTACGAATTCAAGGCTGTTCCAATTTGTTCGCATTGGGTCAACATAATTCGAAACATATGTACTTAAATTCTGTACAATAATACTTTATAGTAAGAAAATATCTAATTCGTATTAGAAATATGAAACAAAATTTTTTTCAGAATACATGTTAAAAGTAAATAAATCTTGAAGCATCTTACAAATAAAGGCTCCTTGTAAGTTTTATATGCAATAGGAGGGAAACTTCAACCATAAGAAGCATTTAGGCTTAAGCATAGCCAGGGAGCAACAAAGGTACTAGGTGCTGATTGTTCTTAATAATATAAGTGTATTAAATTTACTTTTGCAATTGATTTTCAATTAAAATTCTTTATGCATGCTTTATATTTGCATATGGTATTGGATTACACTGTTAAACTAAAATTAATATGACCTTTAGTTTTAGTATAATCTTGTGGTGACTAAAAAAAGAAATAATAATTTATTTTATATTTTTGCGTCAGCGAGATCACGTGACTAGTATCACGCCACTCGTTTTATAGAACTATCCTGTTCCTTCGGGAGTGCTCTAGCATTTGCTAGATGGGAGATGGTCTGGTA